CCGCCCCATCCAAACCCCCCTCCTTCCTGACTGCCCCCTGGTACCCCTGCCCCCATTCAACCCCCCTATTCCCCCCCCCCCCGACCATCCCAACCCCTGGCCCTGACCACCACCCCGAACTCCCCTGCCCTCTATCCAACGCCCCCTGCTCCATGCCCCCTTACTGCGCTGCCTGGAGCACCGGTGGCTAGCGGCGCTACGGCCGCATCGCCCACCTGGAGCCAGGCCATGCTGCCGCCGCCACCACACAGCACAGAGCACCGGGTCAGGTCAGGCTATGCAGCTGCGCTGCCCCAGGAGCTCACAGCCCCGCTGCCCAGAGCATTGTGCCAGTGGCAGAGCGAGCGAGCTGAGGCTGCGGGGGTGGGGGGACAGCAGGGGAGAGGCCAGGGGCGAGCATCCCGGGCCAGGAGCTCAGGGGCCGGGCAGGACGGTCCCACGGGCCGGATGTGGCCCGTGGACCGTAGGTTGCCCACTCCTGCTGTAGAATCATAGAACAATAGGATTAGAAGGGAGCACAAGGGTCATCACGTCCAGTGATTCTCAACCTTTTTTAATTTGCAGATCCCTAAAAAATTATGAACAGATGTGCAGACCCCTTCAGAAATCTATTGTATTTATATATAGTTAGGGTGACCAGATGTCCCATTTTTAAAGGGACAGACCTATATTTAAGCCCTCCTGCAGGTCTCCTGACTTTTTCTTAAAAACAAGCAAATTGTCCCATATTTTCTGCAGCCCCCGCATCAGTACTGGGAGGTCCTGCTGCTGGCCAGATCCCTGCTCGCCAGCGACCCACCCACCAGCAGTGAGTGAGGTGGAGGAGTCCAGTGGCTGACGATGGCAGTGGGTGTGCAAGGCTGATGGTGGGGTGAAGCTGCAGCGTGCAGGGCCGGACCACTCCCCCGGCCGGTCTGCCAGCACAGCTCCTGCTAAGTGCCAGCTCTTAGCCAGCAGGGCCCACCCGTACCGTTTTTGGCCAGTACCGGCTGTGAGCTGTGGCAGCCGGTGAGTGCAGGCAGGCACCAGGTGGCAGCCTTTACATGTTCCCCCTCTCGCTGTCCTCCACCTGCTTTGCCCCTTTGCCCCCCAGCCCCACTGCTCCTCCATATTCCCCCCACCCCCCAGCAGAGCACATCCCACTCACAGCGCTGTGAGGAGAACCAGCCCCTGGTCAGAGCGCTCAGCTTAGCAACAGACTGGCCAGTAGGCCCCTTCTTTCCCCCAGTGCCTCTGGCTGGGCTGGCGCCCCAGGAAAGCCCAAGACCCTCCAGCCCATGGTGCTGACCAGGAAGAGCCAATGCTGTGCCTCTCCGCCCCTCAGCTAAGTTCTGGAGTTGGGAAGGGGGAGAAGTGATTTCCAGCCTGTTCCCGCCCTGAACCTACAGGCTCCACAGCAGCCCTCCGGGAATGCCCCCCTCCACTGCCCTGGGTCCTGCCCCCAGGGAGCGCGGGGCTGCTCCCTCCCCTCGGCACCGTCCCCTGCTGAGCCACCTCTCTGGCCGGGCTCCACAGCTGCTGAAGCCCCCGCAGTCAGGTTCCCTGGCCTTGGTGCACAATGCATCCTTAGGACTTAGCCCCTTCCTGCCCAAGCTGTAGGCAGAGGACAGGAGGCAGCTGAGTTAAGTCGGTGGCCAGCAGCAGCCTGGAGGTGTTAGCTGCCTTTCGACACTATGCAGGCAGGAAGATACAAGCTGCTTCCAGCCACAGGGAAGATGGAGGAAGGGATGAGCTCTGCAAAGACAGGAGCCAGGACATCCCTTCCCACCCCCGGCCGCTAGAAGCAGCTCCCATCCCTTCCCTCACGCACAGTGCTGAAAGACTGCTGCTGGACACATTCGGGTGTGAACCCTGGCAGAAATCAGGGGGGCATATGACCCTGCGTGCGCCCTCATGCGTTGCCTCAGGAAGATGCAGTTACCAGGAGAGGCAGGTCCATCCTGGGGGCCCAGACAGGCATGGAGGGTGGAGAGCACCAGGCAGGGAGGGTCGGGTTGGTCAGTCACCTGTCCCCCCCCCCTCCCCCGTGTGAGAGGCAGGGCCGGCTCCAGGCACCAGCCTAGCAAGCAGGTGCCTGGGGCGGTCAATGAAGAGGGGGGCGGCACGTCCGGCCCTTTCGCCGTCACTCCCTCTCGGAGCGAAGGACCTACCACCGAATTGCTGCCGTAGAATGAAGCGGCGATAGAGCTGTCGCCGCAATCACAGCTTTTTTTTTTTTGCGCTGCTTGGGGCGGCAAAAATGCTAGAGCCGGCCCTGGTGAGAATGGTACTTGTGTGTGTATTACCTCTCCCCGTGTGTGTGGAAGGGTAGGAGTGTGTGTATCACCCCTCCCCCTGTAAACCTGTAATGTTTGTACTGCATAGTTCTGATTGATTGCCGTTGAACTCGCTTGAATATGAGTAATTTTACCAGGTGTCCTGTAGTCAGCATAGGGAAATATGGTCACCCTATATATGTTAAATTCTGTTCAGTAAGTTTTCAGTCTAAGTCTTT